GCACCCCAGTGCGGCCCATCGGTTCCCTAGCACAGCCCAGCTAGCACCAGACTGGCGCAGATGGCCCCACAGTGGTCCAGACCAGCCTAGCTCTATTTAACAGCCCCGTTTCAAGCACGAGGTTATTCGGGACGATTCAACATGGATGGTGAGCCCATGACAAGTCTAGGTTGATACGGAACGGACGGTGAGGTAATTTTAGATAGCATTCTCATGGTGCAGGTATGTGGTTAATTTAAATTTGACGCCGGAGGATTTTTTAAATTGGTAAGAATTGGAATATTATTTGATTTATCCGTTGTATTTGGAGAGGTAGGCTATATTTTACAAACCATTAATTAAATGTGTTTGGTTGAAAAAACAATGTGGTTGAGGATATTTCTTGATCGACTTTGGCATGTGTTTGGTCCAAATCCAGCCAGCTGAAATGTATTGTAATAATTCTGCAGCAGTGTTCTCCAAGAACGACAAATATGCAAAAGGTGCAAAACACATAGAATTAAAGTATTTTTTTCGTTAAGGAGGAAGTTCAGAAACAAAGAGCGTGCATGAACATATTAGAACGGATCTTATGATTGCATATTTGTTAACTAAAGGTCTACAATTAACCAAAGACATTTAAATAACATGTACATAAAATGGGCCTTGGTTGTATTCATGATTGATTATGATGATGTTATTACATAATTTTGAGCTCATTGATATTACGTTTCAAACTTTTATCGATTTTTTTGTTCATTATGATTTTGTATACATTATGTTTAGAACATGAAATATCTTCAAGAAAATTATGTAGACATTATGATATTTATATATACTTATGAAACTTGATTTGTTGAATTGTTATTGTAGTGTTATATGGAAGAAAATATGTGAATCGAGAGTGTACAACCATCATAACTCTTACTATATGATTTATCATGTCATTTTTTATGTAAGGCCTACTAAGATTTGTTTATACACCTAATGTATACCATTATATTAAGGGTTTTCTGACCAAGTGGGATAATGTAAGAATATATCTAGGACGAAAGTATTAGGCTTACAATTAATTAATTGAGCTAGACTTTTATTTAATGGTCAAATAAATCTGAGTCATTAGTATTGATATTTAACATACGTACCAGATCTAAGTCACCATATATAAATTAATTCTCCCTCCTCCAATTAGGATACGCAGTATATTTTCCATCAGTTTTCTGCTACATCAAGAATATCGATCAGGAGGGAGTAGCTAGTATAGATCAAAGATTTACGAGAGTCTCGTGAGATCATCGAGATCAAGATTATTTATATCGTCTCCCGCATTGATGGGTTTTCTCCTAGATCTGGAGTGAATCGGTTGAGATGAGCTCCGATCTGTCTGAATCGCCACGAATACCTGCAAGAACTCAACGTCGGAGGGGGTTCCGGCGTAGAGCCTCCGACGTTCAAGTCAGTATCAGAAAGCGAGATGATGATCTCAGAGAGCAGCAGCAGCAGCAGCAGGATATGGGAAATGTGTAAATAGGGTAAAATTAGGTTTGGTGTTACCTTATCCCTTTTTATAGTGGCAGATACTTGCACGAAATACCCGAAATGCTCAGGTCGATCGGTCTGGTTGCCCGGTTTATTGGTGTCCTTATAATTTCTTAGTCAGGTCCGAGTCATCTTAAGATTTCATCTTATCCTATCAAGATTCGTCCTTATCTATTAAGTCTGGTAAATGCCTAAAGTATTCGCAATCGTTGTACACCTCAAGCCTCGAAGTATGAAGAGTCGACCTCGAGCAATAAGAAGTTGACTTAGGGCCCACGTGTAGATGAAGTATATAAAGAGGTTCTCCTGTTGAGAAGCTCCTTTTCTTTTTGTGCAGTTTGTTAGTCTTTTTTTTTTTTGGGTGCGTGGGTGTGGTTGTTCTTGTGTTGGTTCTAGGGGATCCTCTGGTTTTGTCATTTAACTAGATTCAATTTTTGAACTGTCTTCTCGACTTTTTAGAACCGTGACTTTTGCTCCTTTCTCTTTTGCTCCAATCTTTTTTTTTTTTTTACTACTGTTTCTATTGGATTTCATCTCTAGCTTACCCCAACTTGTTTGGGACTAAAAGGTTTTGTTGTTGTTGTTGTTGTTGTTGTCTTCTCGACTTTTTGGACTGTTTTCTGGATGTATATTTGTGGTTTATATGAAATTTCTCCGATTGGAAAAAAAAAAGAGACCGACTCGGTATTTTTCATTGCTGCATCTGGAAATTTTGAGAATTTTCATCAATCCACATAACATGCAATCCAAAATCAAGAGAACCGAATTGAATCCACAAATCTATAACAATATAATGTAGTCTATGTATATTCACATCATCACATATGGACATTAGTTTCAGTTATTGTTTTTAATTATAATTTTATATCCATGTCATAGTGTTTTATTTTGACATTAAGGTGCCTACTATACCGGCAATGAGAATAGTGGGGTCCCCAAGAACAGCCGAGACCACAAACTGCAGGGCCAGCCCAGCCACCTCACAGCATTTTTGGGCTTTGCCTTTGGGCCTCTTGTGAGTGGTGTGGGCTTCCAGCGTGGCTTTCAGGCTGGGCACCCGCCTTTCGCTTTTGTCGCTGTAGCTGACACCATCATACAGCTCGTGCCAGCTGTCAACAAGCATGTCCTTAACGCACGCCACGTGTAGGTTGTACTTCTTGCATGATGATCTGTAGCTCCAGCTCCTCCCCTTCCGCCCGCACCTGACATGGATAAGGTAGATAGATGTCACAATTAGAAGTTGCCATTTCACGGGCCACGGCCTAACCAGGCTCGGCCCGCCGGGTTGGCGGGCCTCGGATGATGACCCTTAACCGGCCTGAAAATTTATATGGGTCGTCACAATAATACCTCTCATTGTGACGGTATTTTTTGTGACGACATAGCGACAAAAATTATCGTCACTAAAAATGATCAATTAGGTTTATAATGGAGCTCAACACACTTTTAATTAAGTTGCCACAACAAGGAGGCTAAACAAGGCAACTAAATTAAGTTACCACTGACCACATTAGGCCCTAGTAAGTTAACAAAACCTACATCAGTAGCCACAAAGAACTAAGCTAAGGAAACAAACCACAAGAAAATTCATTTCACTCCTTACAAGCTGCAGAATTGCTAAAAACCCACGAATTGCGGGTCTACGAAATCCAACAAAAGATGTAGGAGGATAGCTAAATTCTTGTCTCA